CATGCCTCCCTTTTTTTATAACCCACTCTCTATCTTTGTCTTTTTTTGTTGGTAGGTACACTCTTTGTAACAAGTGATAGATCAGGGCGATACTGGGTAATTATCTGACTCTGATTATCTATATCTATATTATCTAATAATAATGATTTATTTCTCTCATCACAAAGGTTCATGTACATTTTTACTAAGAGAACAGGTAGTGCTATAGTAGGTATAGGTACTATGTGTAATGGAATTATGAACTTTTATGATTAATGAATACCTCTAATTAATTAAGTAATTAAAAATACATAAATGTTTTATATTATAACTATAAATATTAATACATTATTCATTTTGCATCAGTACGTGTTAAAATCATTTTTTCAGGATAATTTATTATCAAATCGCATCAAAAATCTTTCAAAGGGTTAAAAGCTTTCCATACCATATTGACTTCAGATGTAATCAGCAACAATCGGTTCTGTTCGGACGGCAAGCATGCGCCGAGCGGGTACACATTAAGCGTTTTGCATGCGCTTAATTTCACATTCGCTAATTTAATGGATAGGGATGATTCACAAAAAAATACAGAAATGTATACAGAAATGTGTAATATGTATTTATTATTTATAAAAAGGTGTCCCTATTATATTAATTTTCAGACCTCTAGCATCAACATAAGTTCACGATTGAAATCATTTCAATAATGAACTTATTAAATTCACCCGAGAATTTCGTTTATTTGGTATAATCCAAGCACACGCTTTGAGGGTTAAAAAACCGACCAAACGCTTCGAGAAAAGTAGTTAGGCAGTCCCTTGCGCTTCGCTTGGCTCGTCTTGGCAGTGGCACTACTACATCAGATCAATGTAAGTACTTACACATTAAAATTATTGAAAAGATCTTTCTACGCACCTACGAGTACCTACAAGGTTATATCAATAGTACAAATATCTAGGGATGAGATGAATCGATTAGATTAAATCTATCATTTAATTATTTTGATACAAAAATCGAAAACTAATTATTATGATTTTGGTTGTTTTTTACCGTTGGCTTAAATCTTATATTTATATGAAGATAAAATAATGTTCTGTAACAGTTTGATAATTTCATTTATCTGATACACTTAAACCACAAATACGCATTCTTAAGACCCATTTACACATTGTAAATAAAATTAAGTATAAGTATGACATTTTACATACAAAATAATATCGAATATTGCGAGTTTGTTGTTCGCTTGTGTCAATATTTTAAACGAGAGAACCAAAGTGGTGGACTGTTGTTCCCAATGTGTGTTTTCATACAGCCATATGCCAGCATTGCCAAATACATCGTCTACTTATTTTGAAGGCATAGGACGAGATTTAGTGACTCACATTAGTGCAGAAAATATGCGGACTGTCAACGGACGAAATAAAATTGTCCACGCTAAATAAAAAAACAAAAAAATCATCACCAGTTACTTGTATTGATGATTTTACGATGGATGTAATACGAAATTACATGTACGGGTATTATTTTCAAAAGAGTTGCCGATTAAGTTAGTGTTGTCCCTCAAAGATGCAGATTTATTAACGGAAGTATAGCGTCGTAGTAGGCCAAAACATCCTTTTTAGGGAGAGGCCTATGTGCAGATTGAGAGTAGATCGGAACTGAATTTTGAATAAACTTTTATTACGAGAAGATTCTCGTCGACAACTCGATACGACAATTCCTGAGGGGACGAAAATCTCAGGAAGACTTTAAATGAGAAGTACCTACCGTTCGATTTAGTTTGTAATCAACTGGTCGCGGCCGCGCGCGGTCGTATGTGTGTGGGCGTGCCTGCATACCTATTTGCATTTCGTATTATTTTATAAGACAGGAATAAACGTGTTCCTGCGGTAAATTTTGTTAGTGTGTGTAGACTGTTTTGCACGGAATACAACTAGTTACCTATTAATTTTGGGCGATACGGGGGAATGACCTTAACGTTTGACGCCGTTGACAACTGATTGCATTAAACGTTTAAATGCTGTTTGATAATTTACATTGCAGTTTTTGGCCGTATGCGGTATTTAATTGTTTTTTTCGGTAAAATGTTCTGTTTACTTGTTGTGATATCATTCTTGACAAAAAAAAATGATGGGACTAATCCCTCCCACCTCCTGTAACTCCTGTACCCCAGGATCAACAGCAGTGACCCACGAACACACCGCATTATGACACTCGGGCAGTTCTAGCATATTTTTTTTACAAAATTCACTAATCCATGGAGATCTTTGTGATCCAATGGAACAGACATGGAGGCCGTAAACACTACAGTGTATATTTTAAACAGGACAGGGAAAGGAAGGGAAGAATATAAAACATCGTTTCAGCTATGGGAAAAGAAAGATTATGATATATCAAATTTGGACAAAACATTTGGAACAGAAGTTCATACTCACATACTCAAAGAGATAAGAAGAAAGTGGGATGGTAAAGCAGAGAAAGGGATTTTTGTAGGGTACGAATATTCTAAGGGATACCAAATTTAGTACCCGTCTAAAAGTTCAGTTGAAGTAAAAAGAGATGTAATTGTCTTGAAAGATAGAGAAAAAGTGACGGGCCTGTTGGTCTAGCGGTTAGTGATCCTGACTGCTAAGCCGGAGGTCATGGGTTCAATTCCCACCCGGGAAAATATTGTGTGATGAGCACGATCATTTGTTCTGTGTCTGGGCGTAAATTATGTATGTATTTAGAAATATATAAGTATGTTTATCAGCAGTCTGGTTATAGTACAGGCTCTGCCTGGTTTGGAATCGGACAACCGTGTGTGAGATGTGTAAAATTATTATATACGAGAAACGGTAACAGAAGATTTGAAAAGGAGTTCTCAGATACAATAAGCTAAAATAAAGAAATAACAGAAGACATGAATAACCAGGCTAAATATATATGATGGAAAGATTTTTAAACTTAAGAAGTTACTGTACGGATTTAAAAAATCACCAAGAAATCGGAATAACAGATTTAATAACTTTATGAAAATTTCATCGTCTAAAAGATGCAAGTCCAATGACTACTTATATTTTTTTTAAAAAAACAGAGATTGTTGATGACTTGATACGGAAAGAAGAGACGAAATATATTAGCTAAAGAAGGACCTTAAGAAAAATTTTCAGAGACAGATACGAGTGACAAAAAGATGAGATATTTAGGGATTAAATCAAATAGTAGTAGAGCTAGAATACATAAATACAGAAAATCATATATGTATTAAAAGTGTACAAAATGTCTTTAAGAAATTGTGTGCTGGAATTTTGAATTCAATATTTTAAATATGTATTAGTTATTAATTTAAAAACTGTTGTGATGGGTATTGTTAAACTTTGTAATACTGGTCAGTTGTAATACAGAGGTAGTTGTTGAACTTTGTATCAGGATTTAAATAGTATGTTTTTGTAATGATTATTCTAAATATTATAGATGGTTTCATTGAGAAGGGTGTTGAGATTACTAATAACAAAAAAAAGGAACACTAATTTAATATACATGGTCATGATTTTATGACACTTGACAAACCGCGCCTTTGTCTGTTTACGTTTAATATAGATGTTTTGTATTATGCAGTTACTTTTCTTCAGTAAAGGAATAATTACGCAGTTCTTGACTATTTCTAATGTATTATCCCTTCTTGGATCCCATAAACCCTAACATGAATGCCAATTGATAATAATACAAAACATTTAAAAACTATATAAATAACAATAATCAAAAATAAATTAAGGGAACTATCTATTATCGAACTCTCTTGTTGCCTATATGGCAAGATTGGGGCTCTTGTTCTCTCTATGGTTATATCTCTATGTATTAAACACTACCAAAAATTACATTGCAAATATTTTAATTGCGAATATGAGCCTGGTAACTTGAATGATTATATTTCAATAACAAAGGAGGTGATATCAGATGATGTGATGATTATAAATGTGATAGACTCTAAAAGGGTTTTTAAAATTAAGACGGAAACTAGTCATTAACGGAGATACAATGCAAGACTTGTCACTCGAAGGTTCAAACAGAGAGGAGTAGACTATTATGAAACCATTTCACCAGTTAAGGCACAGCTCACTACGGTAACTGCTGGCCCTAGTCTATTATAGTATAGTATTAGAAAACTGTATATTGATCAGAAGGCCAATAAAATTCTTGTTATAAAAGTTCGGTTACAATCAAGTTCCGATCAAATCTCGATCTCAAAACTGTCATAAAAGGTATTTTCGTAGTATTAAATAGTCCGTGTGGTGACGGATTAAGAATACAAATTGTCACCACCCCAATTCATCCCGTGGGTGTCGTAAGAGCCGACTAAGAGAGCAAACTAAGCAGGACAACAGCACTGCAAAGAGAAGGAAAACTTGAAACAAACCCTATACCAACCCGTCTGGCCAGCTAGTACAGTAGGTCAAAACCTCCTTTCTAAGAAGAGGCCTATGTCCAGTAGTGGACTATTAAAAGCTGTTGATGTCGACGTGATGTGAAATATCCAACTCTGACTATAATGTGATTATATCGTATTGTAACTGAAAATTGAAAAGGTAATCTGCTAGTCTTGTAATACTTTACTGTTTTACTACGAAAATACCAGTGACAGTTGCGAGATTGAGAGTAGATTCGAACTGAATTTTGACCGAATTAGCATTCAGATGGATGTTAATAAAATGTGGATTTATTAATTAAAAAATTAAATTTAAACAATTGTGCCAAATACTTGGTAAACTCTCGTATTAGGGTTAGGCAACTATGATATTAATGTAGGTAATAATGGTTACCCTGCAGGCAGACAAAACGCAGTTGTGCCGCTGAATTCTGTTTGAGGCTGACTGTTCATTAGATACCTGTTATATTTATTAAACCACACATCAGACATGGATTTAAATAAAAAAAAAAAGGTCATGAGTAATGAATGTTTATATTGGTAGATATCTTTTTAGGAATATCATACAGAAACATATTCTACATACATACTTAAAATTAGTTTCGTCACCTTAGCCCCAGCACATAGTCCAGTCATCTTTCCTGGTTTGTAATTTTACTATGATACGATACAAAGCTAGTGCAGGTCCCAGGGGGAGTCCCAGGCCTCTGACGATATCGGCACGTCGCGCCATACTTAATGCTTGGCCGTCAAACTCCTGAAATTAACATATGATACATTTTTGAAAGTATTATTGATTGGATTGGCGGATAGTGTAGTTATTTAAGCGGTCACCTTTCGTTGTGGGTTCGATCCCCACATGGGAGAACACTGTGTGCTGTTTGTAGTGGGTCATGAATGTGGTTAATCTCCCCAGCGACATTACAGACAGTAGTCATTTAAATAAATAAAAAATGAAAAAATGTAATGAGGTTACTCCAAAAAGGCTGTGAACGTGATAGGTGACCTGTGCTAAGGTGTTAGGCTGGCTTCATTAAACAGGGATTCATATACTCATTAATGATGAGTAGTTTAAGGACTCATTATGGACAAAGTGTGAGTCTAATGCGGCAATTAAACTCAAATGAAAACAAATTAATTCATCATTCTAAGAAGATCCACTAAATATAGTGATGGATTCATTTTAACAGAGTTGTATAAATACTTACCTGTTCTTTAAGAATTGGAGCAGCTTCTGGTAAATACTTAGTAAAATACTCAAATACATCATCAGTTGTCCAATTTGTAATGTCTGGAATACTAAGATCTATAGGCATGTCATCGTCAAGTTTTGATGGTGCTCTATCGAGTTCATGCGGTTTTAAAAATGGATCTATTGGCGGCGAATTTTGAGCTGCATAATCCACACTTCTACGTATTATAGCAGGTGAACCCACAACTGTTGGCCGAGATTCCAAACAGTTGTTGCATTCCCACTGATCCCAAGCTTTTAATCGCTCTGGAATGCGTGGTGAATGACATAATGCATGGTAGGCATCGGAGCAAATACTGCATACAGTCAGAATACCCTGAAAAAATAATAGTAAAAAGTATGAATAAATGGTTAAGGGTCAAAATCTTAATTTAAAATTGCAAATAATTACAATAAAACTTACAGCATCATTGGTCTCACAGCAAACCACACATGTTTTACAATGTGGACATTGCCAGGTGTTATCAGGTCTAGGTTTTAAAATACCAGAACCTGATTGAAGGCAACTTAAATGAGCTTTGTTGTTACAATCACGGCACTCAACCAGTCTGTCATTAGATCCACGAGGTTTTTGCACTAGGCACACAGAACAAACACCTCCTGAAGTCTCATGTGAGATTGGTTCATCTTGTTCTAATTCATCACCACTTCCATCCAAGGATAGTTGACTTTCAGATAGTGGAGTGCCTTCAGCATCTGACTTATGGTGGCCCGCTATCATTAGTCTTTTCTTGATAGTACTTTTATTTAGTGAACCAACTGGTCTACCCCTCTTTCTCTTACTAGGTACATTATTATCAGACGGATCAAATACTTTTTTGGCCATTTTACGCCGCTCGCCGACACGCACACCAGCATTGCGAGATGCACTACTGCTTGCTCCATTACTTGAAATACCACCACGTTTCTTAGGCCTTCCCCTCATTCTTTGAGGAGAAGATCTGCATGAAGAGTTAGCAGATGATGTCATCTGTAATAATGTCAAAATAAGTTCAACTTTAGGCTTTTCTAATAGACTACTGTCTATTAGAGTATTAGACACAAATTTCACACATAATTGAACTATGAGTTTTAAAAGACATAATTCTTCAGCTTTTATGTAGTGGATTCAATGACTTCAACTTTTGGTTAATGGCTTTGTGGTAGAGTGTAACCACAATTTCGCCAATATTGTGAATAGATTGCAAATTTTTGACAACCTAATAAAAAAAAAGTAAATTGTAAAAAGTTTACATGCATACATTAAATGTATCACCTCTATGGTAACAAAAATAAAAAATGATAATTATATGAAGGTAAATCAAATATTGAAACATTCAAATAATCAACATTTTAATGAGATTTGTATTTTATTAATTTATTTATTTATTTTTTACCCCCGCATTAGAAATATATGTTGTCGCATAACATGCATGAACACAGACACAAAGAACTCAGAACAACAATTTGTGGATCACACAGTGTTGTCCCATAGGGGGATCGAACCCACAACACTTGGCGCAGTAAGAAGCGGCGAAGTGGTCACTTAAACCACTACTTTACCATTACTTAAGCTAAACCTTAAGTAAAAGCTATTAATAGATAAAGATTATTAAACATACCTTTGTGTTAAAATCTGTGTGATATTCAAATTTAAAGCTATCTGAGCTATCACCATCATGGTCTGCTGGACCTAGAGCTAAATTACCATTTTGCAGTTTAACTAAACTTCCAGATGATAATTCTTTATTAACTATTGTTTCAAGTTGTTTTTTAGAAAACTTGGAGCCTTGTGAAGCAGCTGCAGAAACAAGATCATCAAATGCAATACCATTTTCCAAGTAACTTTGATCTTGATAAATTAGAGTTGCTATTGCTGATGTTATTATTCTTCTTTCACTGGTTGCAACTGATGAAGACATAGCTAAAAAGAGATGTTGAATTTTAATAGCGAACACTAAAATACCTAGGCATTGTTAGCAATGAATTAATATTTAACAATGGTCCCATAACTGTTACAAATATAAAAATTGTCGGTTAAATTCAACTCACTGTCTCTGTTGTTTGTATTTGACTTTTTTCGCCACTTAGCAGCGTTTCTATAGCTTACATTATCTTTATAGTCAACTTTAAAAATACTTTTCTCCTTCAAGCAACGTCTTAAATCTGCTTTAGTGTCTTTTGGAACTACTTTGTAACACTTAAGCATAAATTTACAAATCCTATTAATATCAGGACGAGATTTGCGGGAACGTAAATGATCTATAGCAGCCAAAATTTGATTTTTATACTTTATCTCTGACATTTCTGGAAATTAAAAAAAAAACATATAAAATAGGCATAGGTGAGTTTAGGAAAATGTATAAAAAAAACTTGTAATAAGTTTGAAGAGCATAATAGAGCATGAAAAATAGAAATGTAACTAAATTAAAAATATGTCTACTTACCTGAGTAGAATCATGCCGGCGATTTTTAAACCAAGCATTCAGTTCTTTCACCAATTAATTTCACGAATTCTATCAGAGAAAATGATAATATTGTACAAGTTTATAGCCTTTCGGTAACGAATTTTTTTATATTTATTCTTCCGTCTTTGGTAAAACCGTAACTAAAGTTCAGTCACTTTAATAGCCACTAAAATACTTGTACATAAAAATTAAGTCACTAATTTACTACCATCTAATCGCAGCCAAATCAACACACCAAACTGACGCTGACCACTGAAGTGACCAGCAAAATAGGGATGACGATCTGAAATCGATGAATCCAAGAATCGATTTCTTTGGGCAAAAAATTCAATACATATCTTTATTGGTTGGTAGCACTGAATCGATTCAGTGGATCGATATTTCAATCTAGAAAATCGCCATTCGATTTTTCTGTTTTGATAAAAGGCAAAAAAATTATCATAGCTAGTTGAATGCACTCAACGTAAATAATATGTAGAGTAGAGGAGCACGAAATCAAATCAGAGATAGCCTTACATGCCTCTAATCATCACAACGAGTTAATACTGAAGGCCCTGTTAGTGTCACTTTTGCAGCTACTTTATTCTCCATGTTACTCGACATACGTAAAGAAAAATCAATTTTTCACATAATTATATTCATATGACTATCGGGGGATCAGCTGTGTCTTGCAAGCGCTTTCTCTTAATTGCGGCAACGTCGAAAGTGATGAGCGGAATCCAAGTAGACTTGACAGACTGTTGTTTCTCAAAAGCTTAGATATCTAGCATTAGGAACTATAAGCTCTATTATATAATATATTTTATAAACTTTTTACACTCACAATGACGTTATATTAATAAAATGATAAGTCAAATTATTTATTTTATATGTATTTTAAATGAAATTTTGAATTATCGAAGAAACTCTTGGATATTTAAACAATATTCATAGCTGATAAAAAAATTACAATAATAGTTATTATTAAAATTAAAATGGCCCTACTCCAATAGTTTAAATTTCGCACTAAATTTAAGTTTTCGCAAAATTTTCCAATAAACAAACATTTTCTAAGCTATGACGAAAAAACAATACAATACATACAATACTTATTGCTTTTAACGTATGTTTAATAATTAGTTGCCTTTTTATTGCTTAATATTGATGCTAACATTCAATAAATCAATATACAAATAGTCAATCTAGATTAGGAACATGAAAATATATTCAAAAACAATAGTTACTTATTTTAAATTAATTTGTCTTCTTCAGATCCATTTATTTGTCTACACCATCATCGTCGGTTTCAGATTGATACGATTCTTTAGTATCCATTTGTTTTACAACGTTTATTGCAATTTAATGATCGTTATAGCATTTTCCTTCCAACCTCAAACCACAGCGCATTCTTGATACTTTTCACATAGCGGAGAAAAGATTTAACTACTGACCCAATATTGCCAATTTTCATTTTTCTCCGGTGCCTTCTGGGGATGATAGTAGGCATACATTATTGACGTAACCTTAGCTCTCTCTAGTGGTGGATTAGCCACGTAGCAAGAGTAGCAAATGCTACGGGCCCTACGCATTTTGGGACCTCGCGCACCATCGCTTTCTGACCGTAAAAAAGTATCTACCTACTCATTTCGATCAAAGTGTGAAAATATTTTTCAAATCAACATAGTCACAATTCTTATCACGAAGTAGTTGCATCTAAATGTCTAACTATAATTTAAACTTTTAGGACATTTCAAAAAGTGTAACCAGCACCAGAAATTATGTTTTGCACTGTGACCCGATGCTGCGACGTCACAGCTGGGCAAATTGCCCAGGTGTGCTTATCCGAGTCCCCACTGCAATCGCAGTGATCACAGGCGGGACTCAATTCCCTCCTATCGGTCGAGTGAAGAATCAGCCATGCCCGGAAAGGGATTGCATCAGTCGAAAGGAAAGGGTTCCTAGCTAAGCTGTGGTACGTGGTCGTCTAAGTGCCACCAGTCGTTAAGAATACTTTATCTGGGCCTGAACCGGTACGATGACTGAGTTCATCACGATTGAGGCGCCAGGGGGTGCACCACGACGAGGCCAATGAAATAAAAGGGCCTCCGTCTTATCCAGGGACACCCATAAGCCCAGCGCCTGAATACAACTGACCAACAAAGAGATACCCCTGGTTTCCAGGCGCGCTGCGTCTTGAAAGTTCGATCCGCGGGCTGTAACCAATGTGGGAGGGAGATTTCCTCAAAGGGCCGTGCCCAATATTCACCCGGAAGGCCCAAGATCAGAGCACTGTGAAACATGTCAACACGACATAGGCCGATGTCGCAAACTTGAAACAAACTCTGTAGCTTTAGTTTCTTGATACTTGTGTGTGTGAGACTGGGATAACCAACCCGTCTGGCCAGCATAGTACAGAAGGCAAGGACATAGTTTCTAAGGAAAAGCCTATGTCCAGCAGTGGACTATTATATGCTGATAATGATGAATATCATAACCTAGATAACCTAAAACAATTCAAGGTCCCCTTGATAGAATTTGCTACAAGATCCGCTCTGGCTTAATCCGGCACTGGCTCTCTCTGGCATAAAGCCTTCATTATCCCATTGCTTAAAATTCATAATACTTCTCCTCTTGAGCACTTCCGTCCAATCTCCATTGTTCCTTTTGTTTGGTTTGCATACACAAAGTTCTCACAGTTCATCTGTCAACATCGTCTTCTAAGTCCTCTACAATCTAATTGTTACTACTAAACCACTACAAAAATCCGCAAAGCAATATTTAGCTACCAGTAGAGAGTTCGATACAACCAGTTTAAGTGGAGAATCTCCTAGGATGGCAACACTGGCACTAGGTTGAAAGAAAATTAACACGCCTGCTTGGAGATGTAAATAAAGATTATACAAATGCGAGATAAAATTTACTACAAACGTCAAATCCTTTAGATTCAAAATAGCTTGCACAAAAGAAAGAGAGTGAAACACTCAGATCCCGATCCATCCGATTCCGTGGACCATCCGCTGTTGCCCGTATATAATATTCGTGACTGGATGGTAGTTTTTATTACCCCTATCAAACAATGGTTGAAAAGTTCATTTGACGGTAAAACTTTTTACGAAAAAAGTTTATGAGAATATGACACATCGTGACAGGGGACTAATCCCACCCACACGCCCACCACTGTAACTCCTGTACACCAGGATTCACAGCAGTGACCCACGAACACACCGAGTTATGACACTCGGGAAGTCCCAGGAAGAAAATAAACTATCTTGGAACCCGCAACGAAATTAATCAGAAGAAAATTGGAGGAGTTGGAAATACAGTAAATCCACTTCCCTCCTGAGCAAAGCGGGAGACAAAATGAAGTAAAATAGGCATACACCCTTTTGAACAGGGAAGCACCACGGCCACAAAAATATTACGGGTCCTACGTGAGCTATATTTGATTTCTATAATATGTATGGCAGAATCACCTAAATGCACGGAAATTCACCCTAGTTGACACAAGATCCCCATAGTATACCGCCCCAGATGTTACCTGCAAGCTATTCAGCATTATATTATGTTCATTATACCAAAGACTACATTCCCAGAGGATATGATGAGCAGACTGTTCATATTGAGAGTTAGGTGTTGAGCATTGACACAATGGTGACTCGACTAATTTAAATGAATACAACTTGCTCTTAAAGTTACCATGACCCGTAAGAAATTGAGCGACACAGTGATCCACCTCAAGCCATGTCCACGACACATCGTGACAGTATGATTGCTTATGACCCATTAGTTTGGTATAGGTGAAGATGTAAAAAGTAAATGCTGGTGTCCCACAAGGCTGTGTACTATCACCCACACTGTTTCTTCTGCATATGAATGACATGTTTCAAACTAGTAGCATCCATTGCTATGCAGATGATAGCACAGGAGATGCCCTTTATACCGGCCGCCCCAATATTTCTCGGGAAAACGTCATCGAGAGTCGAAACAAACATGTGTCAGAAATTTAAACTTCCTCAGCGGAGGTTTCAGATTGGGGCAGACTAAATCTAGTCCAATTTAACCCCAAAAAGACACAGGTCTGTGCGTTCACCCCAAAAAAGATACCATTTGTCGTATCACCTCAGTTAGAGAGCACCTCCCTAACTGACTCAGGCAGCATCGGAATCCTAGGCATCAAGTTTAGTTTCGGGGTCACTTAGGGGGTAAGGTCAAAATGGCCTCAAAGAAGCTCGGTGTCCTGAACAGATCGAGGCAGTATTTCACTCCGGCCCATCGCCTTTGGTCGCATATGGAATACTGTTCTCATCTCTATGCAGGGGCACCTCAGTACCAGCTTCTCCCTCTGGACCGCATTCAACGAAGAGCAAATCGAATCGTCGATAGCCCAAACATCTCCGATCGGCTCGATCCTTTAGCGTTACTTAGAGATGTGGCTTCACTCTGCATTCTCTATCGCATGTATCATGGAGAGAGCTCCGAGGAATTGTTCGGACTAACACCAGCCGCAAATTTCCGCCTTCGTTCCACACGGCAAAATTTTCATTCTCATTACCTGGATAGTTGGCGCTCCACAACTGTGCGCTTTTCGAGACACTTTTTGCCCTGCACAACCAATCTGTGGAACGGGTTATCGTCTGCGGTATTTCCGGACCGATACAACCTTCAAACCTTCAAGACGCGTTTGTGACTCCTGAGTTGCAGACGTTCATGAGCAGCGATAGTCACTTTCAATCAGGGGACCCGTCTGCTTGTCTGCCCCCTCTAATATAAAAAAGTCCAATAGAATTTCATTGTTCAGATTACTAAGTGGCTCTAAACTACTCTTTACTTTTAAAGTCATAACTTATTCTAGGAGGATTTTTCATAAAATTTAAGTAATAACCTAAGCTTTTCTCAAGTTAAACAATTTTAATATTAAATAGTTCAATTTAGATTAGTTTAAGTTATCACATCTGTCGGGCGTCCCGAGACGCCCACGTATTTTCTATCATAATCCGTAGATCCTTTATGATCATTTAATTATTATCTCATAGCCTTTTAGTAGTATAAGTTCAATAAAGCAATAACCTAGCTCTAATTTCAAAATGAGAATAGATATAAATTAATTTCCACGTCCATACAAACCTGGTTATAAAATAACGTAATTACTAAAATTACTTACATGAATAAAACCACCTGTCTGTTAGTGGAATATTTCATAAAATGTATACAATAGGTAGCCTAGGTAGAACTATTGTATCATGTGCATCATTAATCCTTGCTTACATTGTCATTAATCTCATAATATAGGTACATCGATTCTTTTGCAACTTTATTTAAGTCATTTTGTTCTCTATTCTTTCTGAAAGACCGTGGTCACACTCATTATCATATAATTAATAAGTGTTTGGTATGGAAGAGACAAAGAGAAGGAAAACTTGATACAAACCCTATCCCAACCCGTCTGGCTAGCTTGATATAGTAAACCTCTTTTCTAAGGAGAGACCTATGTCCAGCTGTAGACTATTAGAGGCAGTTAATAATTATCTCTTTAGCAATAAAACATGAATAGCAAAATAATACAATATAGAATGAGAAACACCGACAAAAATAAATGTACTATTAAAAGAACATGATATGTTGTTTGTTATTAAAACATCAAAATAAGAAGAAAATTAATGTCCATAGATGAAAGCAGAATATTCATTTGCTACCTAAAAAGATTCCTGAAGTCATTATATTAACCCAATTCAAGTCCCAAATCACCATATTAGAGAAAGAAGTGCTATGATATCATACGGGAAACTAAGTTTTCTGGCAATTATTAAATGGACTTTAAAGTATATTAAAGACTGCTGGACGTTAGTATACTGTACTAACTAGAGATTTTTAATAGCTGGCTATTAAACCTGTGTTGAAGGGATGCATTCATGTTGCCATGAATACAACAAAAGACATACCTTTCATTAAGCCAAAAAAAATTTCAGAGGTTCAAGGAACTACTTTTAGTAGTTCCTTGGTTCCTTCCTAAAGTAGTCATTTCCACTAGATGCTAAAGCTAAAAGTACCTCACTTCTAAGATCTTTAGAATTAATTAAACTTAAATTCCAACTATATTACATAAATGTAAGAATACAATAGATAGGTACACCTGTTTTGAGTTTGAAAAGTGACTTTAGTTAGAAGTTAATTTAATTTTAATATGGTAACTCTGTGACTATGTATGCCATGAAAAATATGAAGTTTTAAACATTTCTATTTTAAAGTTTTTAGGAAAGTATAACTTAACACTATGACTACACTTGCATTTCGGGTTTTACGTTTAACGTACAGTAAAACACATTATTATAAAACTGTATTTTTGTCTTCACAACCAGAGCGAATCAGTGAGAGTAATCCGGGAAAAGTTGTAAATGTAGCTATTATTGGTGCTCCAAATTCTGGAAAAAGCACACTTATCAATAAGATTATCGAAAGAAAGGTTTGTAATCAAGTTCATCATAGTATCATTCTAATTAAAGATAAAAAAAAAAACATTGACTTTCCATAATAATTACCTGTAATAAGGATTGAAGGATATCAAAGTTTCTACATAATATAAGTATAATATTGTTTTGTAGTCATAATACAAAATATATAAATACAAAACACAATTATATTTATAAGAATTACAGTGCACATTTTAAATAATTGTAATAACATAATCTTTCAGATATGTGCTGCTTCTAACAAAGTACATACAACTACGAAATTGGTTAGAGCTATGTGCTACCAGAATAACACACAAATTATTTTCTTAGATACTCCGGGTGTTGTTACTGACAAAGAGAAACGGAAGTGAGTACAAAAATATATATCGCATTATTCTAAAATGTAGAGATGTTAACAATTATAAAATAACCTAACAAAATATTAGTTTATACACTATAAAAGAGAATAGTTGTTTTTATTATTAAAGTTAACATTTGTTGAACATGATTTTCAGGTACAATTTACCAGATTCAATGATAGGCGCATGTCACAAAAGCTTACGATGTGCTGATGTGGTTGGTGTTGTTCATGATGCTTCTAACAAGTATACCAAAGATCAGCTTCACAATGATGTCATCAACATGTTGAATTCAGTTGATGAAATACCTAGTTTCCTGATTATAAACAAAGTAAGTGTGTTCGAGACATGTGTTAATCAAAATGGAATTATACTGGTTTCTCTTTCATAAATCTGAGCATCACAATTGTTAACAGCTGATATACAGACTTTTAATGTGTGACAATAGCCCCAAATATTGACATGAAATACAACCTTCTTCAAGGATTGTTTTTATCTATTTTTTGCATTACTTTTATTCTTCATTTCCTAACAATGCAACCTCATAGTGCCACAGCAATAAGTGGCAGGGGACAATTTTTTTTATGTAAATAATATTGAAGAGAAGCTGATTCCATTTAACTAAATATAATTTTATGTGTGATGTAAGTGCTACCTACAACACTACTAAACTCCTAGACAAAGGGATACAGTCTTATATTTTTACAGCATTTTCAATGTAAACTTGTTACAGGTTGATAAATTAAAAAGCAAACATCAGTTACTAAATGTGATAAGAAATCTTACAAATGGATATATAGCAGGGAACCCTATTCCTAATAATGAGAGAAGTAAAAAAAAAGCAGATGGTAGAATAGAACGAGGATATAGTAAATTTTCTGATGTATTCCTCATATCTGCCTTAAAAGGTGATGGAGTAAATGATATTAAGGTAATTCGATATAATTCAATTTTAAAGTGTTTATTTACAAACAAGACTAAAAAAAACTATGGTTACACAATTTTGTAGGTTGTATCTTGGACAAAAATGCTCTAGGAGTTAAAATCTGTCTCTTTCTCCTCCAATGAAATAGGCAGGCGAGTAGGCTGGAGATTATAATATCATGAAAATAATATATTTTATTACCAATATCTGTCAATAAAATATTTGTGGCAGTTGAGATCTAGCACCTAGGGTGCTAGTTAGTTGAGATCTAGCACCTAGGGTGCTAGATCTCAACTGCCACAAATATTTTGCATTTTTAAGATAAAATGATTCTTCTATTGAACTTATTGAACATTATTTTCTACTTTTCACTTCGGCTAGTTACAACAGCATGTTTTGTAGTTTTTTTTAAACTAAAAAATTATTTTTTAGGACACATTACAAGTAATAAATTTGGTCAGGACTCTATTTATATATTTTTAAGAGAGATTGGTAGATATTAATTAGCATTTTTTTTTAGCAATATCTTATCAGCAATGCAAAAACTGCTAACTTCCAATATTCTCCAGAAATATGGTCAGATCAAAAGCCAGAGTCATTGATTGAAGAAGCAGTTAGAGCTAAATTTTTAGACTTCCTAGCTCAGGAGATACCTTATAAATTAAATGTCCAGCTGGAGTATTTTGAAGAAATAGAGGAAGAAGATAAAATATGTTGTTCAGTTGTTGTGGAATGTCCGTCGGCAAGGTTAGCTAAGTTGATAGCAGGTGCAGGCGGTGGAAGATTACAGCAAATCAAATCACACATTAGAAGTGATCTAATTGATTTATTTAAGAAAACTGTTATTATAGATCTTGATTTAAAGATCAAACTAAATCCCAATGAGTAGTTGGGTAGGTTATTAGGTAACATATAGTTGTTTACCACTGTAAATAATAATGTAATTACTAAATTTACCATTTTGTGAAACAGACATATGTATAATTTAGTAATTTACGAAATATATACTTTTAGAAATAAATTAACTCTTTCATTCTGCATTTATCTACGGTTAGGTTATGGTTATAAAGTGACGTCCCGAAACATGTCCTTTCTTCCTTGTGCCAGTCATGCCTTCAAATACAACTTTGTTTTGTTTGATAACAGTATAATTATTATTATTTTTAATGAAAGAGGAATAACAAGTCAACAAACCTGTGGCTACATGTTGTAGTTAGCTGTCCACTGCTACTACTACTAATTCGGATTAAGAATACAGGCTGTCACCACTCTTATCAATCTCGTGTGTGTCGTAGGAGCCGACTAAGGAGGCTAACTATGCAAGACAACAGAACTGCAAAGAGAAGAAAAACTTGACAGAAACCCTATAGCAACCCGTCTGGCCAGCGTGGTATAGTATCTGTATAGATTTATATTTGTTTTTTCAACTTTTACTTTGTTAATTCATTCCTGGAGGGATCCTTTTTTTGAAATACCTAACTCTTATAACTCTGTATTTAGAATGAAATATACATGTATGTATGACTGAGGTGTAAGTTGTGTTTCTCTGAAGAGTCCCTTAGGTTGCCCACACGCACACTTATCCGTACCCCTCTGTTGTCGACAAGGCGCCCTGAGATAACCCAAATCTCGTGAATATCTACGCTGGGTAAGCCGGTGAGTAGACCGCCTGATAGGTTCAGCGGTTACAATATAAATAATTTTCCATTTCCTGGACATAGGTCCAGCAGTGGACTATTAAGGGCTGTTGATGTAATGTGAAATAGGCAGCAATCTCAGATCCCAGCATTGCAGTTACACAGCTTCTTAAAAGATAATGACACTAAATTCTGAAGAGTTCTAATATTGGCAACAGATATATATTGAGAATGTGGCCATGGTCACAGGCTGACTGTCAGCCACGGCCACGTTGTAATATAATAAATTATAGAACGCGATAGTTTAAAGTAGAGATGCCACTAATAGTAATTTGGCCGAATACAAAATATTCGGCGAGTGTCATAGCCGAAGCGACTTAGTACCTTTCGCGGGTTTGAACCTGAATCAGTAAAATGAACAGCAAATAACCATCACCAAACGATATCCTAACCTACCAAAATGTGCTAAGATTTATTTATCATCTCATGGAAGAGTAAATACAGTGAGCGCCTATTTTCCGATATAATTTATGAGAAAAAGCGCGATTGTTTCCTATCTACAAATGCTTTGCATACAAATGCGAATCAATCTATTGCAAAAATTGTTGTAACTAAGTATTAATATGATAAGTTATTGGTAAAATAAAAAATCTTTGTGAGTAATATTATGCATTCTTTTCTTCATGATTTACTATTCGGTATTCCGCCGAATATTCCGAACCGAATCACGAAATAGTTGCCGAATATTTTTGGCATCTCTAGTTTAAAGTCAGTATGAATTAATATTTAAACAATTTAAAAGCACTTTTAACTAAAAGATACTTTTAATAATTTGTTAGAGGGGGCAGACGAGCAGATGGGTCACCTGATGGAAAGTGAATAATCCCGCCCATGAACGTCTGCAACTCAGGAGTCACAAACTCGTTTCCGGCTTTTTAGGAAGGAGTATGCTCTTTTCTTGAAGGTCGTATCGGTGGTAATCAATTAAGTAATGAGTGTTTGTTTTAAAATCATCCGTTAGTTTTACGCTAGCAGTTGTCTGTAACGCGTGCTCCGTACCTTTTAAACATTTGCACATAAATACTGCAAATTGCAAAAGTTTTAGTTAGTTAGTTTTGTACTGCTGGTTTAAAATATTTAAAAATTTAATATTTTTAATCGAAAAGTATTAACATTTGAGTAATTTCTTTAAAGGTTAACGTGATTGATTATTGTCACGTTTTGTGCCTACATTATCATTACAGGTTGAGTTAACTAACTTAACTACTTATACGAGTGAATTCACGTAGGTATAAGAGTGAAGTCTCAGTATCTATTGAAGTAACTATAAGAGATGTAGGTGCTTCTTTATTGAAGTGAACAGCGCAACTTTAGAAGGGCGATACCCAATTTATTGCAACGAGTTGGTAGGTAATCTCAATTAAATTAGTTTTGTTCAGAACTAAGATCGTTTGAATCGTATATATGTGTAAAGTAAGTAGCCATCTACACAGCAAGTTAGGGACCACCATCACATAAACTGGAACTGTAAACAAGTCTTAACAAAGTTTTGTGGTTAAGTTGTACGGTCTCTTAGTGTTTCGTACAATTCTATTGTTAGGTATGAATAACTAAGAGTATAATATGCCTTCGTCATTTATTAGCCATCTAAACTGACTACATGATGCATTTCATTATTATCTCGTTGCTTGTTAAAGTTGTAAAATTAAAATAGAATGTACTTGCATATTTAATAAGTTTTATTTAAACTTTACCTGTGGAAACGCTTTTACAAATACTTATGATTTAAAAGTAGCAATAATTTACATGGCTAGTAAAAAACAATAATAATATTAATTGCATTAATACTATAATAGGCGTTTAAAGAATTTGTTAATATTAGTGTTCTAACCATAGAGCAACACAGGCTACCGGCGGACCGGAGGGTTGAAGCCATCGCGTCTTTTCGCGATACAAAATAGTGTCGTTTTTTGCGGGGGGGGAGGGGGGGGCAAAAATGGGGCAAAAAGAAAGAATATATGCCTAAAATATAATATAAACTATTCCTTAATTCTATAGAGATGTTTAAGTTGACATCTACACTGGACAGCAAATAAACCGAGCCACCCGCTACCTAGGCACTCTAATTCGATTTTCTCAAAAACTAAAAAACCTACAATTAACAAAGTTGTACCTACAGAGTGCGTTTCATGGTGATTAAAATGAAAGGAAACTCATTGGGTTTAATCAATATTTCAGTGTTTATTAAGGATTTTACAAAGAAGAGTCGTTTTCCAGTCGTGACAATCGTTAGTAATGATAAAGTGAAAAAAAAAATTAAAGCCAAAAACAAAGATAAAATCAAAAAAAAGTTTTTGATCAATATTCCGTATTCCCTCCCCTTGCTCGGATAACTGCCAGCATCCTTGTATTCATCGACCTTACGAGCCCGAAGATAAAATCTTGAGGAATTGTATTCCACTCCTCTTCAATTGCGATTCGCAGCTCTGGAAGCCTTGTTGGAGCAGGTACCCGGGCTCGAACCCAACGTTTCAGCTCATCCCATAAGTGTTCTATCGGATTCAAGTCCGGGCTTCGAGCTGGCCAGTCCATCGTACGAATGCTGACGTCGCGTAGATACTGGGTCACCACATGAGCAACATGAGGCCGTGCATTATCATGCATCAATTGCATATCCTGTCCGATATATTCTGCGTAAGGTACCACATGGTCTGCGAGGATTTCAGTAATGTAGCGATGAGAAGTCAGTCCACGTGTACGGCCCGTCGGTTCGATGAAAACTAACGCTGTATGTGCTGTTAACGAGATGCCGCCCCAGACCATTACAGATCCTCCTCCATAAGCAACAGTTTCCTCGATGCAACACTGAGAATAACGTTCTCCAGGGCGACGATATACTCTCTGACGTCGATCACTTCCATGTAGACTCACCCTGGTCTCATCAGTGAAGAGTACATTACTCCACTGCTCTAATGTCCAATCCCTATGCTCTCGAGCAAATTCAAGTCGTGCTCGACGGTGTGCTACCGTTAATGCTGGGCCTGTTGCAGCTCTTTTTGGGGTCAGGTTCCGTTCAGCAAGTCTCCTTCTGACGGTATCTGAACTTATGACCACTTGGCGTTCGTCACGCAGACTTTGTTGGACTTGAACTGCGTTGAGGTGGCGATTTCGCAGAACAGTAAGGTGGATATAACGATCATCTGCTGCTGATGTAGCCCTAGGTCTGTCCGTACCTGGACGGCGATCGAATGCTCCAGTCTCTAGGTATCGTCTGTAAACTCGTTGCACCGAAGATCTGCTGATTCGAAGCCTTCGAGCGACTTCACGTTGCGCAATGCCTGCTTGAAGTAATGCTACAGCTTGAGCTGCTTCCTGAGGTGTTGTATCCATCATTAATCGAAAAAAGTAGCAAAAACACACGCGTCTGAGCAAACGATGGACAAAAACTAAAGAAATGATAAGAAATATCCGACTACCCTCATTGTAGAGAAAAAGAACGCTAATTTCAAACTCTGGTGAAAACAGAGCAAATCGTTAGCATTGTGTTTGTTGCTTGATTACAATGTGAGTTGACGGTACTTTCGAATTAATTTTTAGTCATTTTAATCACCATGAAACGCACTTTTTGTAGGTATAACTTTAATAGTTGTAAGTTTTATACTTTTTGAGAAAATCGAATCAGAGTTCCTAGGTAGCGGGTGGCTCGGTTTATTTGCTGACCAGTGTAGAATTTCTATTACGTTATTGTCCTTATGAAGATTGAGGCTAGTGCGTGTACACAAAAATGAAGTTGCTACAACTGCAGCTGTAGTGGAGATTCCTCTATAAGTTGTTACTCTATAAGTTGTAGTGATAGAACAGGGTTGTCCAGTCAATGGGACTATACGGTGTAACGGTGTGGGCAGAAGGCGCGCCTCTAACACCCTCAGTGGTGGCGGATCTCTCCCATTCGATTCAAAGGCGGAAATGAGTGCCTAAAGGCCTCTTGCCGCGCTACGATGATTCGTCGATGGTCGTCCCGGCTGGAGGCGTCACGCACTAACTTTGGCGCCGCGAAGGCGCATCGAGCCCTTGATGAGATATCTGGGGCTCGTACTCGATGGCCGATGGGACTTTTCTCTCTTTGGATGACGGGGGAAACGTACCGCCGACCATACCGCGGTGCCAGAGCTGTATACTGGAATCCCGGTTCACACAGAAATCAGTGCGTAAAGCACTCTTTTCCCTCGATATTTATAAGTCGAGTGTGCCC